AACTGCGGCATACCTGACCTTCCCAAACCCCTGGACCTGACTCTGCCTTCCAAGATGACAGATAACATATTATATGTGCCCACTGTTAAGAAATGTGAATTTTACCTAGTTTGCAGGAGGAAGCCTAGAACTTGGAGTCAAACAAACCCAAATAATGATCCTGGCTTTGCTAAACTAATATGGGAATTTTGAGCAAGGTACTAGACATTTCTGAGGCTCAGTTTTTCATCTCTAATGTATCTAATCATACCTACCTTGTTGGAAAGAGGATTGAATGGATACAATTCATGTAAAGCAGGTAGCATGTTGCCTAGCACATGATGTGGGCTCAACAAATGTAGTTGCCTTCATTTTCCCAGCTGGGTCATATTGATGCTTATTAACAATCAACTAACAACCAAATACATCCTGAAAATTCTACCTTATCTTCAAGGCAATGACTGTGATGGTGAGAGAAAATGGTCAGGGCAGTTAGCACAGTATTAAACAGATATGGAACACTTAAAATAGATGACCACCACCATCACTATCATCATCATCATCATCATCATCATCATCATCATCTAAATTGTTGGACTGTATAAACATTGTCTAAATTAATTCAGTATCAATTTACTTCCCAAGATGCATTATTCCTTGAATATTCTGACAGGTGGTCTAACTGATTTTTTTAAACAAAACCTATAATTTAACAAACCTCCACAAATTAGGGAAGGACTTGACTCCATTTGCACACCTTCTTTTTAAGAATGTGTGAATTCCGTGGGGGTGAGGTGCAAAAGCTGGTGTTTGAAAAATAAATTAAAAATAGGTCTTTAAGAAATAAAAATCTGTGTCGTTTGGCATTGCTAAAATGTGGAAAATGCATCTGCAGTATTTGGAACCAGTGGCCAGATTGAAAGCTACACTACCTGAATGCAGGCTGACTTTAGTTTCCCTGAAAGCCACCTACGCCTTCAAACACTGTTTTCTAAATGCACGTGCTCACAGTTTTGTTAGCCCAAATATTAGGCATAATAAAAAAATTATAGAGAAACTAGTCAAATGCAGGATCTTAGAATTGTAGGATTTTAGAACTGGAAAGTATCTTGGAGATAGTCTAGTACAAACTCCAAATTTTGCAGATGAAAATACTTAAGGTCCAGAGAGGTCTTAAAATCGCCTACTAACTTCTCTTTTGGTGGCAAAGGAGAGTCTCATTACATCTTTTGGTGTTAACATAGGACTTTCTGAATGAGCAGCTTTGTGCACAATAGCAAGAGGAAAATGGCAGAAAGTTGTCTTTGTGGGCTTTATCACTTGATGAGGAAAGAGAAGCAATATGTCCTTAGGGAATCAAGTGTTCTTTCACTGACTCTTTCAGAGGTAAGTAAATTACCTTTGCAAGGTGCTATCCAAGGACTGACAATGACCTTTTCCTATAACCCTCACCCAGAAGGCTGAAATATATCAAATCAAATCAAAACAAAACCTGAGTTTCACACGTACACCATATGCAGAATACAGGCATTGCAATTTGATTACAAGGAGGTCTTTCTAGTACTTCCGAGGCAAACTCTGTTCATCCTGGCCAGGTTCAGATATATTTGCAAATCGTTTGCAACTAATTTGCATAATCCTAGAGAGAAGAAAAAATTGATTCTACCTATAAGGTCTTCATTTCAATTTATTAAATTTTTTCATTCCACCATCCCCCCCACCCTCAACTTCTCTTCCTCTGTTCAGTGACGCAGTTCTACTATTCCAGAGAAGTAACCAGAGGCAAGTGAAAAGTTCTGAATTAGAGCAGATGCCTGAGGACAGTTTTTCAAAATGAATTCCATGGGCTGTCAATAAGTGCTATCTGAAAAAAATTAAGTGCTTGCACAACATTGCATTAATTCAATTTAAATAGGATTCTTCACCAAAATGCTTTTAGTGCCTTTTATATGCTAAAGATTGTGAATATTTTGAGAGAGTTGTGTAGATATACAATTTTCAGCACTTTCTTATTTGATCTTTTCCCCACAAATCCTGCTTTACTAATGCTGTACATAGCATATGTAACTAAAAGTAGTTCAACTTCTAGCTTGCGAAGACCCTAACTGCATGAAATGCCATAAGAGAGAAAAACGAAAGTCATCTCTTCCTTGAGTAGATTTTTCTTCTTGATTACCCAAAGGCTATACCCTACACAGGTAAAATCAGGGTATGGTTCTTGGCCACATGCAAAAAGCAGACATATTATATGGAAAAGTGTTTTCCTAAATATAGAATTAGGCAACAGAAGGTAAAGCTGGAAGGGCTATGGGAAGACTCCTTTCATGGAGCCCAATGTGTAAAATTTTAGAAATGAAGCTTCCTTCATTAAAGATGTAGTGAGAATAAAGAATATTGGAGCTGGCTGAGTCTCAGACCCCTCCTGCCTCTTCCCCACCTCTAATAGGTCCTCAGGAATTCCTCAAAATCTGGGGCCTCAGTGGAGTATGGTTGAGAACAACACATTCTTATGTGTATATAACTCCCTCATTTTTAAGGGTGTAAGAGAGGTGGTAAGTGGTTATTTACCAAAACAATGAACTTTTGTAGACGGTGGTGCTATTAAATAGAAAGACTTCTTGGTTTGATGAATACTCTGATGGGACTTGCTGAGCCTTAGGGCCAGAAGAGAGGTGAATAATTTGGCACAGTAATCTAGAGTGTGGAATCTCCAAGACAGTGTGGGGGTAGGGGAAGAAAAGAGATGAGAAAAAGACAAGGAGAAGGAGGTGGAAGAGAAGTTTCAGCCACAAGACTTGAGGATGGGGTTAAAGTGATACAGATATCATCGGGGTAAGATATCCCAGTCCAGAATATTTGTACTTACAGACAATTTTAAAATTCAACTTTGAATTATCTGTATTATTATAATTATAAAACCTCCCCTGTTGCCTCAAACCCTCAATAAAGTCTAAAAACCATTGTGGAAACTGAGCAAGAAGCAAGCAAGTTTCATGTCTCTGGTCCTACAGGGACATGGACAAGCCACATGGGACAATCAAATCCATCACTTTATGGAAAATGATGTAATCCAGAAACAGCAAGGGCTCATCCCATAAGAATATAAGAAAGCTAGACATGAGCAGAAATCCTAGGGAAGGCCTTATACTTGCACAGGGTGTACAATGAAGAGCTAGGGATTGCATTTAAATTTTGAAGAACAGGGAGATCTCAGCAAATATCTGAATAACAGACGGAAGTTATGATTCTGTATGGAGGAACCCTTCGACTCCAATGGCTTGTGCTTTCACTGCCAAAAAATGCTAATAACTGCCACTTGAGTTGGCTTATATTAATGATCAATTGGCCACATCTACTGGATGCATAACCCTGACTGAAGCCTCCCCACCTCCTCCCTAAATCCCTGTGTCTTTGTTTCCTGATTCTGTAAATGTCTGCATCACTCGTTCTACTTCTCAAGAAGAAACTTTATCCCTAACTCTTTTCTCCCATCATACCTCATAGCCAAATTGTCATCAAATAATCCTGTTTTTTACTGTGGCATACCATCCCCTTCTGTGTTTTGTCCCTTCCTCAGTTTAGCTTGCATTACCATGCCGAAACAGTTCCAAGCACCTCTTCACTGTCCACTCTCTCCAATCTTCTGCCTCCATACTACACCAATTATCTGTCTAAAATGCAGATATGGTCAAGTCACTAAGACCCTAAATGCCATTTTCTAGCTCCCCATTGTTCACAGGATGAAATCTTTTCTTTAACCTGGCTAAAGGCTTTCTTGCAAATGTGTTCCTGCTCCACTGCAAGCATCATCTGCCATTCCCTACTCTACAGGCCATGCTCTGAGGCCATCCATATCATTTCATCTCCTAATCTTTTCCCCTCATCTCCTTGTCTTTCCCTACAAAGACCTTGAGCAAAACATGCGTGCTCTATCTCCTTACCATAATTAAAATATCAATTAAAGTTAAAGATAAAAGTCTGCTAAGAATTATATTTTATCTTCAGACAATATTTGCATTGTTTAGTACTTTAACTCAAAAGAATAAATAATATGTACAATTCTGCACATTGTATCACACTCGTGGGAAAGAGCTAGAGATCTTTGGTGATTGCTCAAGTTACATATTTCACAAGTAATCACCACTCCAACATATATGGCTGGGCTTGACAAATGGAATACCCACACTCTGGAGGGTGATCCTTGCTTATGGTATAGTGTAAGGAATAGAATATAGAGTGAGAAGAATGGAATTTGGGTCTTTGTTTCCTCACTCATTGTCCAACTGGCCTTAAGCAAAACATTTCACTTCTCTGAATCTCAATTTTTATCTGTCAGACAACTTCCCAGGGTTGTTGTGCAGATCAGATGGAATTAGGTATCTAAAAAGACACTGTGAGCAGGAGAGAAAAGGCTTTGTAATCTATAAAGTGCTACGCAAATGTGAAAAGGAGCGCTATGAAAAGATAACTGGACATGGAGTCAAAATGCATTGTGCTACATGTTGATCTGTGTCCTAGGAAAAAATATGTTGAAGTCTTAACCCCTTGTACCCATAACTGTGGCCCATTTGGAAGTAGGGTGTTTGCAGACATAAGTAAGATGATATCATTAGGGTGGGCCCTAATGCAATATGACTGGTCTTGTAAGAAGAGAAAACAAAAACACATGGGGAGAACACCATGTGAAGATAGAGGCAGAGACAGGAATGATGAATCTACAAGCCAAGGAATGCCAAGGATTGTCAGCCATCACTAGAGTTGGTGGGGAGGCATGGAAAAGATTCTCCCTCAAAGCCATCAGAAGGCGTTGACATTGCTGACACCTTGATTTCAGACTTCTAGCCTCTGGAACTGGGAGGCAGCAAGTTTCTTCTGTTTCAAGCCACCCAGTTTGTGATATGTTGTGTGGCAGCCCTAGGAAACTAACAAACATGAGTATAAATTTTATCTGTCAGTTACTAACTCTATGAATGTGTGTTAAATTCCTTAAGCTTTTTCTCTGATACCTTAAGGACACTTACCTTTCTGTGATAGTTTCTCTGAGGCCACTGGCCACTCCTTTGACCACAGTGCTAGCTTTGGGGGTCAGCACCACCTGAGATATAAAAAACGATCCCTTCTTTCTTCTCTCAGTGATGGATGCCTGAAGAAACTGGATCAGTTTTTCCGGGTCTGTGGTGTTGGCCCAGGGTGCTGGCATCATCTGCCCAGGCCAGAGAAAGGGCACTTCCAGAGCCACTGGACTGTGGTAGAAGACCAGCACTTGATAGTCTTTTTCCCACAGGTACTTTAGACTAACTTCCTGGGCAAAAATCGCTGGGCACATCTTGTTTCCATAGATGTCTTTCAGCATTTGGACCAGTTTTTCATGGTGATATTTCTGCATCCCATAAAAATGGTTGAAGTCCAAGAATACCACCTCCTTATGGTGATCTGTGAGGAATGCATTAATCTCCTCAAGGCCTTCATTGACTTTGGCACTGAACAGACCATGAGCAAAGTAAAGTTCGTTGTCGGGGTCTCTGGGCTTGGTGGAAATTCGAAGATCAAAATAACGGATCCCAGCTCCTAGCTGACCAGTAAAGTTCATTGTTTGAGTGGCTAACCATTTCCGCATCAGCTTTTTGGCTACAGTTCCAAACACAGAGACAAAATTCTGGACGGTTTCTGGCTGTTCTGGCCCTACGGGTGAGGCTTCATCGATGTAGAAGCTGAAGGAATCATGAGATCCTAGAAAAATAACAAGGCATAATGTGGTTATAGTTCTGTCCTTTGCTCTTCCCAACTTCTCTCCCTCTTGCAAAGTCCCTATCTCTCCCTCAAATGCACGAAAGGAAATAATAACCAATATTTACTTAGTTCAGTCTCAGGTCTTAGGAGGGTCCTTTTTATAGCCTGTATGGTACACATAGCACTTCAACAGATAAAAACGGATTATAAAATTATGTAAAAATCCCTTGTGACTAATATTATAAATAAAAATGATCACCTTCTACTTCTGTAAACAAAGAATTTAGTGTATTCACTAGGATTGGCTTTCCATGTAGGTGGCATAAGTGACCATTCATAAAGTGGAATTTATGGGGATTCACTGGTTCCCAAATAGTTTGTCTACTATCTTGCCCTTTCCCTTCATTTTGAGTTGATTTCAATGGTAGAGAGCTTGTTTCAATGAATAAAGGAGGTTTTCTCATGGGCAGATGATCAGCATATGAATTGGTACCTTATACACTTTGGAAAGCACAGAGATCCTTATAGAGAAAGGAAGAAATAAGCAAGAGGACAGTACAATGTTGATATTTTTTTTTTTAAGATTTTTATTTATTTATTTGACAGAGAGAGA